GTAAATATTTCATTTCAAACGTAAAAAATGTGTCTGGTATAGTCCTACACACATGGTCATGACTGTAATAATGCTATTAACGTTTTTATCTGCTCGTAAGCATTTCTGGGCCAATAAATCAAACCAGTCTAGGGTAGTAGTAAGAAAATTGAATCACAAAATATATAAATACATGATGTTGTATAAGTCGTCAGAATAGTTTGAGTCTGTGCTATCACTATCATCCAAGGATATATAATAAACGCATTGTCTCCAACTGCTATTTGGTATTAAGTCACACTGAGCTTTAATTACATCCATTACATGGACGGACATTTTTGAGTTTTTTGAGAATATTTTGTGTTAAATATTTTCGATCTTTATTCCACCAATCGTTGGGCCGCTTTAATGGAACTACGTCATCAATATTTTTAAATCCAAATGAGATTTTGTGTAGAAATTGGTTAATTGTTTCAAGACTGCCGGTAAATCTTTTAATTTCTGTTGCAATGATGCAAATAACGGAATGTGACTACTCTCCTACATAGCATACACTTCCCTGCGAATCCACTCTGCGCCAACATTCCTAAACACTTTCAGTATGCTTTTGCCACATCGTTCATTCCTTGCTAATTCATAAAAAACATCACGTCGAAGAAATAAGAAAAGTTACCTCTTTTCTTCTTTCTCTTACCTGGTTTAACAAAAATTGATTAAATGGTTTTGTTCAATGACAAGCAATCAAACTTTTCATTTTGTCTTTAGCGAAAACCAAGTGAGATATGAGCAAAATACCAGAGGGAAAGAAGTTGTATCTTAATATGCTTAATCAAACAAAAAATATTAAAGTTACAAAAAGGGTAGTGAGATTTGGAAATTTTAAAATAGCGTTTTTTATTAATTAGGTTCTTTAAAAAACCAACAGCAAATAGAGTTTATTTTATACGTATTTTTCTACCGGAAGGAGTGAGTATTAGTGCATGCTGAATATATTTTTTCAAATTCTGGAGATTGAAAGATGTATGTAAAAAATTGAAATGCATGACGCAAAAAGCTATGTATTATTCAAAATTAACATTCTTCTTCACTAGACACATCTACTGAAAAAATTGGTAGTTATAGTAGTTATGGTAGGAACATAATCTAGCAAGGTTAACAAAGCTTTCTGTTTCGGTGGATTTAGGTCATTTCCAGTAGGAAAAAGCAAGTTTAACTTTCTAATCAGTGCGGTGTGGCGTTTTTCTAAATCGAGTTCGCTAAAAGGAGCAATTTCATAGTTTGAGTATTTGTAAGGAATGGTGCCTCAGAAGAAACTGTTAGTCATTGAATCTTTAACCAGTCGACTTTTTTTGTGCAAAAGAATTTTGTTTTGTTCATGGCAATAGTTGTAAAGCTTTTTTTTGCGTGCACCCTAACGTTACGTTAGGGTTTTTTTTGCTTTTCAATCAGGTCTCAAGGCAAGTATGAATGCCTGCTAACTGAAAGTTTCTGATCTATTTTTCCACTGTATAGTCAGGGCTGGAAACAACATACTTACACAGAATAGAAAGCTTTATATTTCTGTTCTGATCCCGAGACCCCTAGATAGATAGCAGCGGGGTAGGTAACGTCTGCATCAGATCAAATTTGATAATTGTTGCTTCAGGATTGTTTTTAGCAAATTCAGTAGCTTCGCGTGGCCCAGTACTGTGTAGAGTGTATAAGCAGGTATTTGAAAAGAAAACATAAAAATTCACCAACAAACTTGCGTTCCATTTCATCTTCAACGGATTTATCCATACGGCTGGATCTGTGATCAAAACACACACAACTGTACACAACCGAACCACTAAGTTCGATAATAGTCACAGGCGGCCGACGATTTAATCGATCTTTTCTCACGCAAATCTCAAATGTTTTGACAAATTAACATAACCTTAAAATTAAATAACTAACAGTCCAAAAGTGAGGACAATTTTTAAATGGCTTATGTGCTGCCATCTAGTAATTATAGAGAAAAGGTTTTGTAGTCTATTTTCGTTTCATTTTACTGTGTGTTGGGGTTATTAAAATCATTAACTCAAAATATGAAAAATTGTGGCTTGGTCCGCTATTGCACTGAACGCCTCATTTCATTTCGGCATATTTGTAGCCGCCATTGTTTCATAGTAAAACGTCTCCGACTGCATATTACCCGTGACTCGTCGCATTCCAGAGGTCAAAATAATTTCCAATTTTAGTGTTGCGGTATAAAGTGCGGCCAGACAGTAGACGCAACCGTTAATAACAGTGGTATAAATCGCTAATAAGGGCAATTTATTCCTACACACACCGTATTATAACCTTGCCCAATGCGTTATTGACGGAACCGAAATCATCGGCAAAATAATCCGCAAATCATATTTGTTTACCGCATTATCTAATCATGGACTAATTTGCGACTTAATATTAAGGGCGTGTAAGCGTGTTGGAAAATTGTAATATTCGCACACGGCCCTAAAATAGTGGCGCGTATGACGAAGCGAACCAAAATCGGAAAATCTGTTACGCCGCTCCGATCGTTAGCCAATCCGTCCTAGTGGCATTTATAAGCCGTATATAAACACGGGAGGAAATTGATTTCCATACACAAGCTAAGTTCATAAAGCATACATATGTACCATATCGAGGCGACTGATTCACTCTAATCGGGATTAACCTAGATCATAATTGTTTTCGCATGAATTTTTAATGCGATCGAATTATAGACGTGATTGGTGATGGCGTTGGAGGAAAGTCAGTTCCACGGAACTTCCTCGAAAACGAACATTTATTTACATTGGGAATATAAACTACTTTATTATGAAGGTAATTTTAAATGTAAGAGTACCTTGTATTATATATATTTAACCACTTAACTTGACGTCAACGTATGGCTTATTGGCTGCTTTCATAAATTTTGAAGCTTAATTTCACTTTTTTTAAACATGCTCAATATTAGAGTGTCGCAATATTGAGCATGTTTAAAAAAGTGAACTCCAGCTTCAAAATTCATGAATATATATGAATCCATGTTCAAGATATTTCTTGCATACTTAGTTGATATTTATTATTGAGTTTGATTTTAAAGTGTGAAATAATCTTGAGGCACTCTCTATTTCTCGCGTTTGATGGTACCCGTTGCTATTTAGTTGTACTCCCAGATATTTAAAAATGTCAACTTGCTCTATTTGTTTTTTATTTAATTCGATATTCAGAAATGTATTTGTTTTGGAAATAACCATAATTTTCGTTTTTTCTTCATTGATTTAAAAAAAAATCTCATTTAGTTCCAGATTTCAAGGTCCTCTTTCATTTCTTCCAAATCCAACCACATCACCTGCAAACACACCCTCTCATATCCAAACGGGCTCTTGATCTTTATACCCTACTAAGATATACTGGTTCTTGTTTTTTTTTACAACTTTCATAACAGTTAATTAGTAGCGAACTCAAAACGCTTCCTTGCCTAACGCCTAACTCCCTAGCTTCCATGTTGTCGATTCTGACGTAAAAGCTTTCTCTAGGTCTAGGTAAACTAGATAGATCTCTGTATTGCTGTTTTGTACCTTTTCGATAGTTTGCTTGATACTGAAGATGTGGTCGTGTATGCTTCTGCATTTCCTGAATCCGCTTTGAGATTGCTCTAGCGTGGTTCCGGGGCTTTTGAAAGTTTCTCTTGTAAGACTCGCTCATATACTTTCTGCAATCTCTTTTATCCCCTTTTTTAAATATTAGGTTCCCTTCCCTGTTGCCAAGCTAGGTCGCATATTCTTGTTAGCACTTGACATCCCACTTCACCCATATTTTTTCGCATCGTGTCCAGCAGCTTTGCCTTTTTTTTAGCTTACTTAGAACGCTTTTTATATCGTCCATACTTATGCAATCCTCCATGCTCGCGTCGCCAACGCCCTGTTCAATTTCATCATCGCCATTGCTCTTATTCGATAAACTTTGGAAACATGTTCTCCACCTGTCAATTATTTCGTTGTCATTGTCAGTGTATTTGCTTTATAGCTACAGGCTTACCTAGGGCCCTTAAATATTTCAGCGTTGTGGAGAACAATTTTTGGGTCCGACTCGATTTTATTTCCAAAAACTTCCCACGATTCTCCCTTCTCTTTCAATACCAATTTCTCTTTTTATTTTATACTCCTGATAGCTGTCGTTGTTTTTAGTTGCTAGGTATTTTTTTCACTTTTCTTTTAATTTCTTTTTTGGCATCTCCATTCTACCAATGTGATTTTCATGTTATGTTCTGTTTTTTACGTTACTCCACATACTTCTGCGCGTATTTTTAGCATCGTACGTGTTCAAGTCGATCTAGGTTGTTGGTTTTTCTATTTTAGAATTCGTCTGCTATCTCTTTGATTCCAAGTTTATATGATATAATTCTTTCGTTTGGTTTCCGACGGATCCGAGCCACATCGGACATTTCCGAATATATTCACTGACATGACCTTCGACCGAACGTCAAAATTCAAGCCGTGCGGTAAGGTCTGCGTCAACACCGGATTGCTCCCAAACCCGTGACGTAATATCCCGGAAATGTTCGAAGAGCCTCGGAGCCGTGGGACAAGAAACTCACGTGCTAAACTGACACTTTCTGCACGCTAGACCGCAGTATAATTAGCTATTTTAGACAAGGGAGAAGAAAAAAGATCTTTTTCGTTTCAAATTGTATCTATTTCTACTCAATTCCGATTAGGGATCTTTAATTTAAATAATAAGTGAGTGTTTAAGAAGTAGGTGTTTCAAATCCTATTTGAAAAGTCAACTCTCGTAAAAAATTGAAATCTTTTCTTTTTATTTAATTTTTGTTTGCTTATTTTAGCCAATGTGGATTGTAATTCTTTTCCTCAATATTTTCTTAATTGCAGGAATTAAAAAAAAACTATCCAAGTTTAATATAATGTATGTTGCATCGCGGAAGAACAGGTGCCGGTTTTTTGTTAACCGATGAACTGGATCTCGCCCTTATTATTATATTAAAAACAGACTTTAAAAAAACGTTTTTGTTGCAGAGTCCCCGCCAATCGGACTCGGACTCATCGGACAGCGGCGGACGTAGCGGCGACGAGGGCGACAGCGGGACGCCCGCTTCACTAACCCCTCAGCCCCACCTTCACTTATCCCATTCCCGTCGTCGGACAATATCGTCGTCCACGACGACGACGGCGGCGTCACTTCATTCGGCCGCCGCCCTGTCGCCCGCGGCCGCCCTTTCCCCCGCCGCTATGACGTCGGTCGACGTAGCGCTGGCAGTGGCGGCGTTAGCGGGCGGTGGCGCGGCTCCCGGCGCTTCCGGTGCCCCCCATTTGCCCTTTTACGCTCCCTCGATGCTAACGCATAACTGGTAAGTATGAGGAAGCCTTTGTATAGTGCAATTTTATACTCAACAATTGTCACATTCTGTCAATGTCACGGCCATATCAGCGTTTTGTTTTTTCATTCAAGTTTGAAACAAAATCACAAACATCGATAACACAAGCCAACAAAAATTTTGTGAATTCATATTTTTGGATTTATAGGGACGAAACTAATAGAAAACCAATATTTTATTGTTTCTATCGCGCAAAATTTTTAATTAATTCTTGAAATCTTATATTTATTGTTTTAAAAATAGAAATATTACATAAAATTCTAAAAATTGAAATTGAAAATTCTAAAAATTGAAATTGAAATTGCCACTGGAATTAATTTGGCATAAATGAAGAGAATATTAACGGGGAATGTCTTGAAGAAAGCCCTTTTATATTATAATTACTTTTGTTGTAGCCAATCGTTTCGTAAGGTTAGTGAGCATGGTGAATTCCTTTTTAAAATGACAAAACTTTGTAAATATTCCAGATTCGTTTTGGTATGTGTGTGGTTATTTTGTGGTCAAGAAATTTAAACGTGAAATTACACCTCTGTTTGAAAATCAATACGATATCAAGACAAACGTTGGGTGCCACATATTGTTTGTAAAGTATGTGATGTAGGTTTAAGACATTGGAATAATGGAACCAAGCGATCCCTACCTTTTGTAATATCTATGATGACTGCTACTTCTGTGTGTGCAATATTCGTGGATATAATACTAAAAATTTGAAAAACATTATTTATCCGAGGCTCAAGTCAGCCATTTTGAATAAAGTGGTTCCAAGAGTTTCAAGAGCTGTTCTCTTGCACAACGGAAATGTTCTTGTTTCTGTACCTGTTGCTCATTCGGCGCAAATGAAAGAATGCTACGAAAATCTGCAACTAGTGTAATACAATAGTTCGATAATTTGTGGTGATTTAAAGGCTATGGGACTTCTACTAAGTCAGCTCGAAGCAACCCTGATTTTTGTGTTAATGGGGTGATTTTTCTTCCGTATCAGAAAATATTCTTCACGATATTGATTCACGAAAAATTCTCTTACCACCTTTGCATATTAAATTAGGACTGATAAAGCAATACGTTCGAGCTTTAAATAAAGATGGAACGTGTGGAAAAAATAACCGCAAAACTACAAGAAAGAATTGTGAATACCATGTTCGAATCTGAAAAGGTTTGCATGGGCTTCATTTACTGATGTTATGAAAGGTTTTCTAGGAAACAACAAATATCCAAATTACAAAAACATGGGTGAAAACATGTTGGAGAAATTTTGGGAAATTGAATGCAATATGAGTATATAACTGTACTTTTTACACTCACATCTGGACTACTTTTCCGAAAATGTTGATTCCGTGAGTGAGGCGCAAGGTGAGAGGTTCCACCAGGATATAAAAGAAATAGAACGCAGATATCAAAGTCGATGGAACGTTGCAATGGTGGAAGATCATCAAAAAGGGACAATCCGGCCGTCATATACATATACATATACAAGAAAATTCACTAAAATTTTTCGACCAAAAATAAATAGACTTAACTATTGTTTGCGACTCCGTTATTAAACTTAGATTTTTTAATTTGGTTTTTGTCCTTGTACTAATAAAAATAACTTCAAAGCAAACGAGATTAATTCTTTTAATATTAATAAAAAAACCTTACGTGATAGAGGAAAATGCTTATCAGATTTAAATTTAGGAATCCTAAATTATACAGAATTAAATGTCAAATCGAAACCCACGTTCAAAAGTTTAAAAACTGTAGGCCTGTATAATTTGTGCTTGATCAATGTTAGTCTGTATTTCCCTAATAATGTTCTCTATATCATCTAAGGAGGCTTATCCGTCCATTTAGTTTCATAAATGTTTTATTAGGTCTGAACTGCGTAGAGGCCAATCCAAGGTCTCAATTTTCACCTCATTTAAATAATTTTTTACTGTTCGTGTAGGATAGTGACTTGGCTTTACAAAACTCATCTTATAATCTGAAAAACTTATTTCGTATTCCATTTAATAACTGAGATTAAGACGAAATAAAAAAACAAAATGACTTCGAGACATCTTGAGACTTGACAGACATCTATCTAATAACGCCAGCGAGAATGTCCAAAGAATGTGAGACAAACATTTTCATAAAACCTATAAGTTATATAAAGTAACGTATAACCAGCAGTAAAGTCCTCAACCTTAAGTATTTATAAAAAAACTTTGTAAAAATAAGAATATCATAGATTCCATAGATAAAAAGTTTAGTTTAACAATTGCTCGTTTCGTACTGGGTGAAGTTTTTAATGAAACTTATGAAACTAACCAAAATAAATAATTGATTGATTTATGGTGTTTTCCTTCAAATTATAAAACCATGCTAGGAAGCTTTTCTATGACGAAATAGATTCAATATATATACAAGATAGATACAATATATATTAATTACATTGAGTAAATTTAACCCTTTTCAACAGTTCTGCTGATCCAAACCGTTTCAAGTCTACCTTCTACTAATCACTCAAATTTCGATAACGCAGAATTGAGGCTCCAACAATCCAATCTGCATCAACCTTAATCTTAATGTGTCAGCCATATCACTATTAAATCCGATTATACTACCCAGCACTGAAGCTTCGTTCTTGACAATATGGTGGCAAACCAACACCGTTTAAACAGAAGTAAAAATCGTAGGTCTACTTTATTGAAACAATATTAAGAGTTAGAGAACTTATGTAACTACCGAAATTACATTATTTTTTTAAATAAAATCTATGTTTAAATGTTGCGTGTATTTATTATCCTCAAAACTGGAAAATCAAATTAAAAATGTTTGTTTAAAGAACACCGATAGTGGCTTTTTGTTCATTGTTGATTTACTTGATATCAACATGGCGTTTTTGGGTTTTCAGGTATCTTGCCAACGTTGCGCGTTCATTCCAGGCTGCGCCAGTGGTAGACGTAGACAAAACCAGCAGCGGGGAACAGCCGTTGGATCTCAGCAAAGGGTCCAGTACCACAAACAGCAATTCTTCGGATTCCAAAGTGGGAAACAATGCCAATGTAAGACTGCCCACGTTGGATACCAAACACATATTTAGGTAAGTTTCAAAATAAATCTTTTACATATTGAAAACATAGCAATGGGTGTCAATAATCCTAAATTCTCAAATATGCGGAGAAATAAAAATGAAAAATTCTGCAGTTGCATATTTGGGACTCTTTGCTACTGAAGGGTAATTCCGACATCTACTTAGTCAGATGGAGGCAGGAAGTAGCTGGCATTTATTTGATCTTCGTCGCTGGACGTAGTTCAAAATAAAACATAAAAAACATTTGGCAACTTTTAAGCAATAGGTAAAATGTAAACAAAGAGCAGGGGACAAAAACACCATGGACGATCAAGAGATCTGCCAACAGAGTTTTTGTGTTTGGAAAACAAACCATCATTATTATTCGACATCATCAATATCATCATAACCGCCCTCAATATATAACAAGAATTTATAGACTCCACTTTCTACAAAGTTGGTGACGAATTTATATCGGTAATTCATAGTTCGCAATTAAGCATTTTCTGAAATGGAAGACACATATTTCCTGGTATTTTTCTGTTGAAATTGCACGATACTTAAATTGTGCTTTAGAAACACTATTCCATTTGAATCTTATCTTCTTACTGTTACAGTTTTTCTTTTCTACACAAGGCATTGTATCGCTTGCGGCTAGCCAGATTGCGTAGCGAAAAAAAAGTAATAATTTAGAATTTTTACAGACTTGTTTCTCTGTGGATTATGGCGTTGTAATTATTTACTGAAAAGTTAATATGCCTTTTCAATGCTTAAAAGATGTACAGACTGTTAGTTAGAAACAACATACGACTGTGTACAGTTTACCTCGGTTTAAAAACTCATGTTTTCCAATTGAGTTTATTTATCTTTCTACTCCCGACTGTAAAATGCCTAATTACACACCGATCTAGCGTGCGGGAATCGTCACTTTACCACATCAGTTTCGTTTCCCACGGATCCAAGTCACTTCGGACATTCCCGGGATTTAACCGCACGGGTTTGGGGGCAATCGGATGTTTTCGGAGATATTTCCCACGCCTTGAATTTTGACGTTTATCAATCCAGTGAATGTATTGTTTTGCAAAAATCTACCCAAAAACTGACGGTCGTAGTATGCAACACGTTCGGCAAACCTTTCAAGTCACTCGTTTATTAAAGTTTTTAAGTCGCTCCACTGCGCTCCGTTCGTGCCAAATCAACGCGTGAGTGAAATGCCGTTTACTGCACTTTTTGCATAATATACATATACTATTAATTATTTAATTATTACAACAAAGTACCCTAATGACTTAATAACGTCATAATTTACAAAGGTACACTAAAACTAAGTACATTTATCTTAATTCAAAAGAGTAAGCAAAACAATTTCTAAACTAAAAAACAAAAAAAAACAAGAATAAATTTAGTCAGAGCGAAACGCTCTTATTGGTTGATTCCTAAATGAATTGGGTGACAAACTAAAAATATCTATTTGGTGATACTGGTGAGTTGCCAGTCTATTCCGTTATTAACAATATTGTGCAAAAAAAATGGCACTATACTATTCGCCTAACAGATAATTTCAATATATGATTGAAGTCAATCTATTAGATTGTGGCTATACCTAAAGTTCATGAGAAAAATAAACTTTTTTGAATGCTTTCAATTCTGTTTACATACTTATGATATTGGGGACTCCATATCATACTGGCAAAATTAAGATGGGACCGCACATAGGCATTATAGAATACGACCAGCGACTTGAGGTGTTTAAATTCTTTGCTAACCCTTGTTGTAATAAAATCCAAGTTTATATGAATTTCAAAACTGAGTTTTGTGTCTATAGTTACTCCAGGATCCATATATGCTTTACTTGTTTAATGCTTACTTCATTGAATTTATAATCAAAAACTATATAATTTTTTAATTTACTGAACTTAAAATAGTAACATTTGTCAATATTTAAAAACAGTCACACACACCACACATTTACCCGTGTCCGCTATGAACAAAGAAAACAGAATAGGTCCCAAGCGCGATCCCTATGGTAGATTTAGATTTAGTTAAATTTAATTCAACAAACTGAGTCCTAGAACTAATGTATGATTGAAAAGCTAACGTTGATGCAGCCGCCCCATGACCCATCAGATGGAGAATTCGTAATATAGGTGTTGTATAACTGATCACCAGATATAATTTTGATTAAATTCTTTTATTATTCATTAGATACCATCACATCTTGATTTCCCATTTACAAAGCCTTTTTTTAATGTATGGATGACCATATGAGTGACATCCAAATATTACACTACCAATCAGATGAACGTTTGTTTATCTTATAAATAATTTACCAAAAATTTCTTCTATGTTCTTTTAAGAACAAACCTCGTTTCTCGGTGGATGTGGTGTAGTTAAATGGTCGGTCTTAGCGTTAAATCTTGATGGCCACGCAAAAGTACCAAATTTGATAATTGAAGTCTCACATCCAGACCAACAATCTCTTCTGTGATCTTTTAGTAATCTGGCTAGAACAATCATTTTTTTCGATCAGGGTTGTCTAGCTAATTAATCGGTTTTAGTGTTTAATTTTGGTGACCACATATACGTCCTAAATTTGATAATCGAAGTGGCACATCTATATCAAAAATCTCTTGTGTGTTCTTTTAAAAATCTGAATTGCACAATCATCTGGCTGATCTTGTTTCCAAGTTACCAAAAATATGTTCTTTGCTTTTTTATTATTTGCCTATAACGAACCTCTTTGTGGTGTGATCACCCTTCGTGTTAAATGTGACCATACAAATGTACCAAACGTACCAAGTTTGATTATTGAAGTCTCACATGCAGACCAAAAATCTTGTCTGCGTTCTTTAGGGAGAAAGCTGTTTATGTGTTGCTGAAAGGTATAAAATCACAGCGATAAGCTGCGTACGGTTCTTCGTTCTTTATAGATCGTATCGGTGAGATCTCTCTATCCTAATTATACCCGAAAGTGGAATACATATTTTTATTGCAAGAGTAATAATAACGTTGAGGGATAACATATTTTTCCAATATACAATTCGGCGTATGTGCTAAACTGCGTCGTAAAAGTCCCATTTCCAGAAAATGGAGTCGTATCGTCTAGATATTCCGCATTTATTGCTCCATTTATCTTCAATCTAAGAGAATAAAACGAACGCCCGCCGGAACGTGAACTAGACGAAATAGTTGTGTTTAAAAATGTTAGTTTGTTCGTGATGCGGAGTAGTATGAAGAAGAATTTCTAAAATGCAAACACCAAATCATTATATAATACAATATTGTTAATTTTAGGTAGAAATGAAAAACAAATTTGATTATAAAGAATATTACCGAATTACCGAATATTTAATGAAAAACTTTTTCCGCTGCTGTGTTACAAATAAAGTCAGCAATTAATTATACATAGTTGAACAGTTAATTTGTATTTAAAGAAAAACAAGAGAATCTTTCCATTTTGAGAATATACTGACATTTTTAAAAAGATTTTGTGGACTTAAGAGGCCACCTTTACAACTGCTGGAATATTTAACAGGCGCAACACTCATCTCTGAGGCACCCAGAACATCGAGGTATAGCAGCGATAAAAAACTGTCACAGATTGATTGGACCGATTATTTTTAGGAAAAGTACCTAAACTTTTTTAAAAGTGAAATCGAGAATTTTAACAATTGTCTTTATGGTCATTTTGAAACATTAATTGGACGACACGAACCAATTCTATGGCCACCAAGTTTTATATGGGGACATTTTAATCAAATAATTGCCTGTACTCTCTTCTTGCTTGATATAAGTTGTTAATATTTTTATAAGTTTATTATTTTTTCGGTCGCCAAGGCTATGAAGCAGTTTTTTTTAAAACCTTTCAAAATAAGTTAAACAAACCCTATATTTTTGAGTAGAGGAAAAAAGGTCTTTCTTTCTGTGAAATAATATACAGGGTGTCCCATTTCAAAATGGGTATTTGTATTATTTTTATTCTTATTATTTTCGAAAAAAAAACTATAAAACTTTCATAGGCGAATTATGAATAAACAGATAAAACATATATTGTTCTCTAAAAATTTTATGCAATTTTGTAGTCATTTTTGTTTTAAATTTACAACGCATTTATTTATATATATTACAATTTTTTATTCAATAATATTGGGTCAAACATCAAAAAGAAATCATTTTTCAAAAAAAAAATTGTACAAATTTTAGCTAGTGTAAAAAGGTTTAATTAGACAAACTAACGAACCGAGATCCTAGAAAATTCGAAAAATAAAATATATTTATGTCTAGTTGCTTTCGAAAAATAAATATTTCTATAAGATCAATATTTGAAAACAGAGCATTTATGGACCATCGTTTATGTATGTGAGTTTTTTTAGATGTTTGAGGAAAAGTTTATGTAAACTATTATGGGTGCAGAGAGTTCGTTCGTTAAATAGACGTAATTTTGCAATTTTGTGAGCCTGTATCGATGGACGTTTCAGATTTTTAGAAACTCCACTTCTCGTTTGACATTGCAAAAAAAGGCAAAATCTGGAAGACGAAACGTAAAGGAAAAAATTGTAGTTAACTTTACAAACGATATGCATGCTTAATTTTGGAGTTATAGCACAAACTTTCCACATATCAATTTTCAAAACCAAGGGAGGCATAGGACATCTCATATTTTATAGTTGTTTTTTATTTTTGTCATCAATTTAGTCGCAGCACACTTGGTTGATGTTCGTAATGTGTTAATTTTTGGTTCAGAATGCTTTTCACCGAACGAAAGAAAATATCAAAAATTGCACTCATAGCTAATTGGATATTTATAAACTCCCTACGCGAAGTTATAAAATTAAACTTTTGTTTTTTTAATAGCTGATTTTTAATTTCGCACTATGGAAAAGTACGCAAATTTTAAAACCTGTATTTTACCTGTATATATACTCATAAATTTGGTTACGGCCGTATATTTTAATTTTACAACAACGAACTATCGAGGGTTCGCTGTCAGGTTCGAAGGTTTCGATATTAGGCCCCCCACGTAACCGCAA